ACGGAGGGAGAGTAGTGGGCGGGGAGATGAATGAAAGTTGGGGGGGGGGGGCCAGCAGCCGAGATAAACAGCTGGACTGGACGTGGAGGAGGCCAGGGCCCAGCATCGCAGGTCAGGACGTGGAGGAGGCCGGATCCCAGCAGAGCCACTGCAGATGTCCACGTCACCCGGGTTCGATCAACGGAGAGAGGGTTTTTTTTCCCTGTAATGTTTGCAATTGCGGGTGGCATTAAGAATGTTTGTAACCAAGAATGTACCCCTACCGTTGTAGGAGAATGATGCATGACATGTATTTTATATGTTAAAATGAATGAAAAGTAATTCTTTAAAAAAAACTAAAACATTTGATGGCTTCCAACAAGCCCGAAGCCCATCAACACAAGCCCCAACACAGCCAGCGATCATACAGTCAGGAAGTATTGGTCTTCCGGTGTCTTGTTTAGTTGTTCATACACCATGAACTGGTGGGTTGTCATCTCAGCATGCTGAAAATGCTCCTTTGACCCAATACAGATTCGCCCACGTCCTTTCAGAACCCCTTTCTGGGGAAACTAAGTTCGTTCATTTGCTGTTGCATTTGGCAGTAGTTTATTATACAGCACACGAAAATACAGGAAGCGAAATGACAACATATACATATCAATATCGTACACTTTATACAAATGAGCATTCAGCACACAGAACCAGTGTTTGTACCATCACATTACATCAAGAGCATATTAGTTATAAGTTAAGCATATTGTCCTTCAAAGTACACTTACCCACCCGCCCTACAACTCCTGACCCAAACTACCCATACCACCCTCCAGGTTAAGAAACTAGAGATGCACAGCAGCTGGCCCTATACAGGTCTATGAGGGATCACTGGGCAGGCATTGGGTAGTTTAGGCTTGGAGAGCCTAAATGTACTTTTTATGAAAGTATGCTTACCCTATAAGGGATCTCTCTGCTCTACCAGTAGTATAAATCACCTGTTTGAACCAATGTCACAGCTTGGGTTTCATCAGATGGGTAGCTGTCTACTACAGCTTAGTGAGCCTTATTCATACTGGGGGGGGGGTGTCCCACAGCAGCCAATCAGATTCCAGTTGTCACTTTCTAGTGCAGGTTAGAAGAACGATGATAATATGTGGCCAATTAGGAGATATCACAGGGATAGGAACTGAAGTAGTTGCAACTATGATGAAGACGGGGGTCCAACATTGCAACCATCCCTTCCTAAGGGTTGCCAATTGTCTGAGCCCCCCAGTCAAATCTTAACAATTTGCATAAGCGCAACAACACTCAACATAAACATTCCCATTATGTTCAGTGGTGCCCGTTTACATGCTGCCGCTTGTCATGCAAGAAAGTACATGACCTTTTTTTTGAGGGGGGACAAATCTCACATTATTAGCCCCATAGGCTTCAATGGGAGTGTCTGAGAATGCACGGCACAAGCATTCTTGCATTGATTTTTCATGTGTTTTTGTGCCCATCAACCAGTCTCCTCCTCCTAGCAAGGCCTGTGAAGAAAATGTAGGATTCAGTAGTGTCCATGCCGGAGGGCCCACAAGAAACTCTACAAACCCCGGTGATGCCCATTATCAAAACCGTGGTGAGAAGAAGAGGGCCTGGGAAGAAATTGGGTGCGAAGTTTTCTCAGAGTGGGCGCTCCAATAGCACGAGACTCCACAACACCACACAGAAAAAACAGGAAGCAGATACAAGGATGACAATTACATATCATGTCACAGATGAAAAAAACTAAACTTTAATGTTTTTGTATGTTTTTGAGAAATATTTTTTTTTGCCAGATTGATATAAAATATTGCATATGAATATTTCCATATCTACTCCTTGCAGCCAGGTCGACTTCCACTTCTGCTAAGCCATTTCACTACTATGCCATGAACTGCTTGCAATTTGATCTCCTGCTATTCAGAACCTACAGCTGAGTTAATAATAGGAGGGCACACCTTCCTCACCCTCCGTTGTCTATATAAATATAGTTTAAGGTGAGCGACCACTGCTGGGCTTTCTTTTTGGAAAGTCCAGAATGATCTGTGAGCACTGTATTGTGAAAGCATCCTGAATAAAGAAAAATAAAGATGCTAGAAATAAAACATAAGCTTAAATACTAGATTTTAAGAAAGCAAATTTAAATAAAATGGAATGAATTAAAAAAGGTTATGGAGATGAGGAAAGAAGAGGGGATGAGGAAAGGTTATGGTGATGAGGAGGGAGGGATTATGGAAATGGGGCAAGGGTAGGTGAGGAGGTAGAGGAGATGAGGAGGGCTTATGGTGGAGATGAAGAGGGAGGGATTATGGAGATGGGGCAGGGGTAGGTGAGGAGGTAGAAGGGTTTTGGAGATGAAGAGGGATTATGGAGATGGGGTGGGAGTAGATGAGGAGGGGTTATGGGGAAGACAGGCTGAGGAGAGGTTACTGAGATAATGAGGGGTTATGGAGATGAAGAAGGGTTATGGAGATGAGGAGGAGGGATTAACATTTTAGTCATCCCCTGCAATGGAATTCTCATTTTTGTTGTGGTACTCCCTTGGAGCTTGTTCACACCATGTCCATTGAGCAAAACCCTTCCTCATCCCTTCCTCGCTCCTCATCTCCTCTACCTCCTCATCTACCCCTGCCCCATCTCCATAACCCCTCCTTCTCATCTCTAGAACCGTCCTCATCTCCATAACCTCTTTTCATCCCCTCCTCATCTCCAAAACCCTTCCTCATCTCTTCCTCGATCCTCATCTACCCCTGCACCTTCTCCATAACCCCTCCTCATCTTCATAACCTCTTTTCATCCCCCCTCATCTCCTCACCTACCCCTGCCCCATCTCCATAATCCCTCCCTCTTCATCTACATAAGCCCTCCTCATCACCATAACCCCTCCTCATCTCTAGAACTGTCCTCATCTCCATAACCTCTTCTCACCCCCCCCCTCCCTCCTCATCTCCATAAGCCTTCCTCATCTCCTCTACCTCCTCAATTTCGCTGGCCAATCGCTGGCCAGAATGAGCGAAGCGCGCTTTCACTATGGATTCCTCACAGGCGGAGTGCATTTGGTATCACTCCGCCTGTGACAGGAGGCGGGGCCATAGAGGAGGCATCGGCTTATGCGGCTCTGCTCCCTCCGCTGCCGCCTCGCTTCCTCTAGCACCGGCTACGTTGGCACCGCTGATTCTCTCCCGCGGCTCTTCAAGTTCCCCCTTATGCCACCGCCGGCCCTGGGAATGGTCACAACTTGGTCTTATTTTTGGGGTAGGTCTTATATTTTAGCAATTCCCAAAAATAGCACTAGGTCTTATTTTCGGGAGAAACAGGGTAGTAGTCATTCTGATTTTAACATGGTTCATTCCAAAAATACCATCGGCTAGTCATTACAGAAACATGTGGTAATTATTAGGCACCAATGCAAAAGCTGAAACATTATCCTCAGGGTATTGT